TTTTTTTGTGACAGGGCGACTGTAGATCGGTCCTGTCAACTGTTTAGTCCACCGACTTTTCGAATTAAGCAGTGTGCTTACGCAGAATAAATAATTATAACTTAAAGWGTTAATGAAGTATACTTATTATTATATTAATTTAAAGTGTGTATTCYTTTCTAAACAATCACCTAATATACGAAACATAATTTGATTTTCACCTGCTACAGAGAACGGAAAAACAAATAGTCATCTTTCGGATATGACTGAAGACACAATATAAAATATAACGCATCATATCAGTCCATAAACCGTGGTACTCATAACAGAAGAAAAATAACTGGCCAAAAACACCAATACTTAAACTGTCCTGATCCTTGAGTGGGTTCGCTGATTCACTGTCCTGATTCTTGCTGGTTGGTTGGTGCACTGTCCTGATCCTTGATGGGTTGGCTAACACACTGTCCTGATCCTTGCTGGCTGGTTTTTGCACTGTCCTGATCTTTGAGTGGGTTCGCTGATTCACTGTCCTGATCCTTGCTGGTTGGTAGGTGCACTGTCCTGTTCCTTGGTGGGTTGGCTGACTCACTGTCCTGATCACCTGGTTTGATATTGTAAATGTCACTTGAACGGGGAGGAATGGCAACCGGCCATATAATGATTCAATTTGAGTAATTTAAAATATTATGGTCCTTAAGTACTTAAAAAAACAAAATTTTAATAAATACATATTATTAAAGAGGCTGAGGGTGAGTTGCGGCTCGACCTTTCTTTTCCGGTGTTGGAGATCGGTGAATTCCGGCCCAATAATATTTTAGGTATAGGTTAGTTACGGCCCGACAATTTTTTAGCGATAGGTGAGTTGCGGCCCATGTAATTATCATTACATATGCACCTTACTTATATAATATATATTATATTATATACCTAAATAATAATAAATTAATAACGATAAACGAAATGTTCAATACGTATGGGAAGTTATATTTTTGTATATAATATGATAAAGATAATATAGATCGTTTTATCGTATTATCTGCTCTATATGACTTACATTATGAATGCTTTGATTTTTTTTTGACATTATTATCATAATATATTACACCAATTATACTTTTATTTTATTTACGACCAATATTAATATAAGTACAACAATTTAAACTAAAAAATACCTACATACTATTGTGATGTTTATATATTATACATATATAGACACATAGTATATATATATGTTATATATACATTATTGTATGGCCGCAATTCGTACGTACCTTTCATAAACCCGGGCCGCAACTCGTACGTTATTTAGGTAAGGACCTTAAGGTTACATAAGGACCATAATATTTTAAATTACTCAAATTGAATCATTATATGGCCGGTTGTCATTCCTTCCCGTTCAAGTGACATATTATACAATATCAAACCAGGTGATCAGGACAGTGAGTTAGCCAACCCACCCAAGAATCAGGACAGTGAATCAGCGAATCCACTCAAGGATCAGGACAGTGCACCAACCAACCAGCAAGGATCAGGACAGTGAATCAGCCAACCCACCAAGGATCAGGACAGTGCACCAACCAACCAGCAAGAATCAGGACAGTGAATCAGCGAACCTACTYAAGGATCAGGACAGTGCATCAACCCAGCAAGGATCAGGACAGTGTATTAGCCAACCCACCAAGG